TACTGGACTACATGTTCCAGCACACCCTGGGCGAGACGTCCTGTGGATTGAAGCCTCACAGCATTGGAAGAGATGCACTTTGCTTAGTCCTGCTTCAGGTGGACTTTCTGGAGCAAAAAAAAGAGAGAGAAGAAAATATATATGTTCATCAGCCACACGCCATGCAGCTCATGTATACCTGGAATAGCTGTTGAAGACCCCCTCAGTGACTTGATCACACTAGATGGGCATGGGCAGAGTCCAGCCCCACAGAAGATACTGGACTGCATGTTCCGGCACACCCTGGGCGAGACGTCCTGTGGATTGAAGCCTCACAGCATTGGAAGAGATGCACTTTGCTTAGTCCTGCTTCAGGTGGACTTTCCGGAGCAAAAAAAAGAGAGAGAAGAAAATATATATGTTCATCAGCCACACGCCATGCAGCTCATGTATACCTGGAATAGCTGTGTAATACAATCTCTGGTTGGGTTTATTACCGTGTTTATATTGTCATACAAAGGCTTGGTGAGAGAACCTATGAAAATCCAGGAATCTTCGCGAATGCTTTAAAAAAACCAAACAAACACCCTCCAGTGAAACAGTTCTTCTTTTGAGTGCCTTTTCAGGGCAAAATCTCAATCGCTGAGGATGCCAAGAACTGTGCACTGTTAAGATTTATGCATAAGAGAGTTTACAGAAATAGAAAACATTTGTTCTTATTCACGCTGGAGGCATATGCAGCACTCAGATCCAAGATGTGCTTTCGTACCTAGCAAGTGCTTGCATGTTCATGAACAGAGTATACAGAGGCGACCTTAACTGCTTATGAATTGCTGCTTGCTTCCTTCTGGTGGGCATTGTTTTCCTTTAGTGGAAATAGTCGCAGAAAAAGCAAGACGATTTCAGTACCTAGTGAGTGCTTGCATGTTCATGAACAGAGCATACAGAGGCAACCTTATGCTTATGAATTGCTGCTTGCTTTCTTCTGGTGGGCATCGTTTTGCTTTAGTACAAATAGTCGCAGAAAAAGCAAGACGATTTCTGTCCAAATAATGGGTAGAATCCTATGGGGATTTTATGGTGACACGACACAAATAAGATGTTGTAACGTTTGGGGCCAAAAGTCGATTACATTAAAAAGTCACTGTAGATATTAGCCAAAATCTTGTTGCTTAGCATAGTAAATCACACTAGAGTAGGCCCATTGAATTAATAGGGATTTGGGGTGTCAGCTCCTCCATAGGTTCTTTAGATTCCAGTGGGCCTACTCTAACTGTGAAGTATGTCTAAATTTTAAAGTATATCTAACTTTTAAAGTATGTCTAATTTTTAAAGCATTCACAGAGTTTCCTGGATTTTCATGGGTTCTCTCACCAAGCCTTTGTATGACAATATAGGCCCATCTGAATCCATGGAAATTATAAAGAAGTTGGCTCACCCAGTCCCTTTGAGTCAGTGGGCCTGCTGTAGTGCAATTTACTGTGCTCAGCAGCAGGATTTTGGCCATTATCTGTTGCATGCTGAATCATGCAACTCAATAAATGAGAAATGATGTCTACAGTAATTTCTGAATTTCAGGTAGTTCTCTTCCAAACATTAGGCTGTTTTGCATTTGTGGGTGTAACTGCCAGGATTTTGGCTCATATATTTTATTCTGCCTATTTTAAAATGTCTGGTTTCTTTTTTTTTTTTCTGTATTTCTCAGATAACAAAAACTAAGATACTTGTGCTTGGGCTCATAATAAAGAGTACAAATGTAAAACTTTTATATATTACAAATTGATGTGCTGAGCTATGAAAGGAACATTTTATGTTCCTAAAACATTAGAGAAATCTCTAAATTTAGGTTTAGTGAACGGAGATCTTCAGATGTGTATACTGTATTTAAAACTGTGTTCCTGAAGCTTGGAGCTTAGCCAAGGGTTAATGTGGCTGTATTTTATGGATTCTTCCCAGTGCCAAAAGACTTAACACTCAAGGATGGGAAGGTAAATATATACCATCCATTATTCAGTGATCAGATGATCTCAGTTCTTTAGGTACATATGACTCAGTGTTCTACCAGCAGCAAGTCTAAACAAAAACATTCAGATATAGGGTCACCTTATCATGATATATATATTTGTTTATATAAATATGCTTTGCCACACAAAAGAGAGAGAGAAGCAGGCAGGCAGATAGATGTAAATTAGACCAATAGAGATAGATACAGATCCCTTTTGGTTAGAATGAATTTTAAATATTGGGTTTTCCCCCCAATCAAAAAGAGACACTTTGGGAAATATATGCAGCATTTTTTTTTCAGGTCAAACCTAAAATGGCTTTATTGTTTTAGCAACATTTAATTTGCCAAATTAATTTGAAGTTGCCTTAGCTTCAAGATTTCCAGAGGTTTTGACCTCTGCGCTGGTATATCATTGTTGTTGTTTAGTCGTGTCCGACTCTGCGTGACCCCATGGACCAGAGCACTCCAGGCCCTCCTGTCTTCCACTACCTCCCGGAGTTTGGTCAAATTCATGTTGGTCGCTTCGATGACACTGTCCAACCATCTCATCCTTTGTCCTCCCCTTCTCCTCTTGCCTTCACACTTTCCTAACATCAAGGTCTTTTCCAAGGAGTCTTCTCTTCTCATGAGACGGCCAAAGTATTAGAGCCTCAGCTTCAGGATCTGTCCTTCCAGTGAGCACTCCGAATGGATAGGTATGGGCACTGATACCATCAGTCTACTCTGCCGTTTCAACTGGCTGATCAGAAGCAGAAGCAGCCTTGTGTTGTGTGAACCAGAGTCCTAGTTCATGAGGAAGAAGAATAAAAAGGAATTTGCACATGCAGTCCCACATCCATGAGAAGGAATGGGGCTGCCATTTTACTGGTGGAAGGTGTACTATGTGTCTGGATTGGGCTGCTGGGTTAAGAACTGTGGACCTGTGCTGTATGACTTACCAGTAATGTTTAAAGAAAGTAGATGTGCAGTTAGTTGCTTGATGTCATGCGCAAGGGTGAGTTTGTTATAGAGATTTGATAGCTAATCTTAAAGGTTCACATCTTCACTTGACTCCATACCTTTGCTTGAGCGGCCATGGAAGAGTTATTGTGCATCAACTAATTCGACTTTGCAAGATGGCTTTGAAGGAGCAGCTGTGTTCAGAAGCATTAAATAAAAACCAGTAAATGAATGTTATTCTCGTTGGCATCCACCCTTGTTCACCACAAGCTCCATGGAATTTCCATGTGGTTTTGTTTCTGGGGTCATACAAATGTTCCTATATAGTTCCCATATACACACAGCATATATTCTTGTGCCGTGTGTATATGACTCCCCCCCCCCCGCTTAGCTTCAGAACAAGGTAACAAAGGAGACACAAGTTCAGAATAATTCACTTCATGTATTGTGTGAAAAATAAGGCATGATGGAGACTTTAAAAACGAGTCAACAGTAGCCTTTGTGTCAATGTTTGCTGGTTTCTCCGCTTGGACAAATTCTAGGTTTTAAATACAGGCAATATGGAACCTCACTGAGGCTAGTAGCACGTCATAGTGGGTGGTTGACCTGCATTGTCTTACAGTGGACCCTTGACTTACAGACGGCTTGACTTACAGACTTTTTGAGTTACAGACTTCTCTGGCCGCAAAATTTAGGTTTGACTTGCAGACTGAGATTTGACTTACAGACCAGAAAAAAACCAAAATGGAACAAAAACGGCCTGTTATTTGATTAATCAGTTTTCAGTGCACTGTAGGTCAATGGAGATTTGACTTACAGACTTTGACTTGAGAACTGCCTTCCAATACGGATTAAGTTCTCAAGTCAAGACCCCACTGTATATGGAAGAGATGTGCCCGCGCACAGACCCAAAAAACCCTGTTCAATGTCCTGAGCAGGAAGGCTACTTTCTGTAGTAAGTAGGCACTCTATGCTGTGTAAATGTATGCTTATTGCATGTGTGTGTGTCATAGAGATGTAAGAATACTAATTTGAGTATATTAAAATAATTGTGCTACCTTGAGGGTTAGAATTGTGCCGTGTTCTAATGAATGGGCATTTATGAAAAACTATGACTCATTTCAGCTTTTTACTTTCACTGAAAAATCCTTTGATGCTCAGACCTTCTAATTAAAGAAAATGAGAAGATTCCCCCCCCCATCCTTCTTTGTAATAAGAGTTTTTATTTGAACTTCAGCATACGTGGACATCAGAGAACTGGCTGTCAACCCCTTGTACAGCATGGTCTTTAAGTGGTAATTGCAAAAGTATGATTGTCAAAACGTAAGTGGCAAAGACTTGATTGCCAGAATTTAGGTGGTTGTGATTTTAGTGCACCTTTACAATTGAGTCATTCCTTTGAGCTACTTCTTTAAAAATAGCCAATAAATTCCACAGAAAAAGCTGTGTTAAGTTGTGTCAAAGAAACAGCTAAGAGTCTCTTGGCACCTCAGAAACACACAGTGTGTCTCATGTTCAAGCTATATAAAATATAAGAATTACGAGGTCTCTTGGTTTAGATTCTGCACAAAGTGGATCTTAATTTATATATGTTTCAGTGGCCGGAATCCTGTTGCCAGTTAACATTTGTGAAAGGGGAATCGCACAGGTCTTGCCAACAGATTGCCACTCATTATCAAGCTGCTGGTTAGGTTACTCAGGGCATACCTCGTTGTGCACTTGGGCACAACCACTGCCTCATTGATGAGCAGCAATCTGCAGTCAATACTTCTGCAATTTCTCTTATTCAATGTCAATGGGCAGTAGGACTCTAGCCAATGTACCTGTTAAATTTGAGGCTTTTTAGAGCTCCGTCTAAACTTTTAAAGTTGATAATTCCCAGTCCAAATGCAATCCTACAATGTCAGTTTATAGATTGTGGTTTATCTGAAGTATAGTTGTCTGGGATGGTATTATGGGAGTGGCTGTAGACAATTTACGTTACCTGAAGACATTTAAGGGAGCATTTTCATTCTCCTAAAATAATTGGCACCCATTTAATTTCCCTTTTCCCCTTTTTTTTCTTTTCTTTTTGCAGAAAATAGAAATGAAGGTACACATGCACACACAGTTCTGCCTCATTTGTTTGCTGACGTTTGTCTTTCATCAGTGCCATCATTGTCATGGAGATGGACACGACCATAGTGCTGAAAAAAGCAACGCTAGTCATGACCACAATTACTACCAGATCTCAGATATACCATATCTCCAGAACGGAAGAACGGAATCAGCGCCAAATAAGCAAGCTGAAGATGAGCAGAAATACTACATTGAAAAACTCTTTGAGCGCTACGGCGAAAATGGGAGACTGTCCTTTTTTGGTCTGGAGAAGCTGCTAACAAATCTGGGTCTGGGTGAAATCAAAGTGGTGGAAATTAATCATGAGGACATTGGCCACGATTATGTTTCTCACTTGGACGCCATAGAGGTACAGGAAGGAAAGCATTCTCATTCCCACGGCCATTCTCATTCTCACGGCCATTCGAGCTCGGAAAACCAGACTGTGAATGAAGGGTCAGCCAAAAGAAAGCAGAAGTGTCACCCTGAAAAAGAAATCATGAAGCCATCTTTGAAACCTGATGGAAAGCACCCTCATGATCAGAACAATCACTGGCACCGTGTGCATCGCCACCGACACCACCCGCACCACCACCTCAACCATAACGGTACTCATCATCCGCATAACGATTCCATCCATCCCACCAGCGATCACGGGGAGCCCAGCCACGAGCCTTCCACTGAAACCAACACGACTCAAGAACAGCCTGAAGGAAAACCGTGCAAACACAGGAAAAAGTGCGGGGACAAAAAAAAGAGCAGCGAGGTTTTGATCGACCCGGTGCAAGGCCGTGCGAGATACCGACATACCAGTAAGCGGGAAGCGTCTCACAAGCAGAATAGTGTGGGGAAGCATGACATTCATTCACCACATAACCACAAGGACCATAACGAAGATGATCACCATCATGAAGAGGTCAGTGTCAGCCTGATAAAACCTTTATTTGCTCTGTAAAATTAAAGATATGGTGTATGCATGAGTTGTTGAGTTTGTATGGCTAAAATAGCTGGGATGGCGGGCAATGCGTTCACCTTCAAGCAACCTTGGAAATAGAAGTTGTCTGGATTAGCCATGGAAGCAGGAATTAATACCTGCCAATAAATAAAGCAGGAAAAATGTGCAGGGCTTAGTTATTATTTATGTCTTTTGTTCAGCCACAGAGGAATTATGTGTTTTGGGGCTAGCAGAGTTAGTGCTTTACTACAGTCATTTTGAAATCAATATAATCAATATCAATATAAGTATATAATATGATGTATAGATACATCTTGTAATGTACTGTAATGTATGACCACTGAACCAGTGGTTTAGTGGGTGGTACATTAACCAGTAACCTTCCTTTGTTGCCCTCATTCTTGTGAGGAGGTTGTTCACCCCTTTCTGATCAGGCGCGTAACACTGAAACACCAATTCCCTGTTAGTAAGAACTTCACTCTGCAATCAGATGATTTCCCCCCCCTATGTCTCTTCTCCCTGCTATGATTTGCTATTTCATACTCAGTTGACCCAAACTGTATTTCTACTCCTAAGAAAGGAAAATTGGGAAATAATTTGTCTGCAGAATTTCAGTCTGATTTAGGCTAGAATCCTGGTCTCTTGCACAGGTGGGCTCTCCTTCATGGGACTGGTCCGTGGACTGGTTGCAGAATCAGGCACACCACTCATTCCATGAAGGACAACCTGACGGGTGGCCCTTGCAGCAACAGGTTTTGTTAACAGTATTTTGGTCTGAATCTGTTAAAATTAACAGCAGATCGAATGAGGAAATGAAGATAAACTGAAGATTTTTCAAGAATTTTATCAGAAATTATATAAAGGAAACAATGTACTGAAAGAGGATATAGAAAACTATATAAATCAGAATTTAAAAACTAAATTATTGGAATGTGATAAAAGAATATTAGAAGAAGAGATTAAAGAAAAAGAAATTGCTGAAGTCATCAGTAAACTGAGAAATGGTAAAACACCAGGCCCTGATGGATTGAGTCCAGAATATTATACACATCTTAGTTCCATTTTTATACCTAAGCTAAAATGTTTTATAATAAAATATTGGAAGGAGGGACAATGCTACCTCCTTGGAAACATTCATTAACTATTCTTATTCCAAAACCCAACAAGAATCCAACACATCCAGGATCTTATAGACCTATATCTCTAATAAATCAAGATACTAAGATTTTAATGCTATATTAGCAAATAGATTAAATAGATTTATGACAAATCATGTTAAAGAGGATCAGTGTGGCTTTATAAAGGGAAGACAAATGGATAATTTAACTAGGCGAGTTTTGAACATTATATATGAGGTAGAAAAGAAAAAAACAAGCAACCATTTTATCACTAGACATCTTTAAGGCATTTGATTGTGTGGAGTGGCCAACATTAAAGCAGCTTATTAAGGGTTGGGTATTTGGTAGAAGATTTATAGGGATTATAGATCAATTATATTCAGAAATAAGGCCGAGATACAAGACAAGGCTGTCCACTTTCACCAATATTGTTTTGTATCATTATCGAACTCTTAGCTAATGCAATAAGAAATGATGAATTAATTAAAGTATTAGGTAAAAATGATACAATTAAGATTAATTTATTTGCTGATAATTTATTATTAACTATTAAAACCCATTAGAAAGTATAGATAAAATTTAAAATCATTTAGAAAAAATTGGGGAAATAACAGGATTAAATATTAATTAGCAAAAACCCCCACAAATAATGATGTTTAATTACAATAAAGATGAACAAGAAACATTTGTAAATAAACATGGTTTTAAAATGTGTAATTATATTAAATATTTAGGTATAAATATAGTTAAAGTGACTCAAAAATTAAAAGAGCAAAATTTTAAGAAATTAAAAAGTGAAATTAAGGATAAATTGCAGGAGTATTCTAAATTGAAACTATCGTGGTTTGGGAGAATCGCTATGATCAAAATGAAAATATTACCAAAAATTACTTTTTTATTCAGGATGCTCCCAATACAATTAGAAGAAAATTTTAAGTATTGGCAGGGATTAATTAATGGATTTTGTAATCAAGATAAAAATCAAGAATAAATAAAAGATATTGGTATAAGGCTGAAAAAATGGAGGTTTAGGTATTCCTAATATTTAAAAAAATCGTATTGCGAATCAACTAAGATTTATTGGAGATATTTTATATAACAAAGGAAGGTTAATTTGGTGGGATATGGAATCCTCAGAAATTAATGGGAATATTGGAAAATATTTGTTTCATGTAGTAAAAAGAAATACAATAAATCAGGTGAACAATCCTTTTTTAAAAATACGTTAAGTGTCTAGAACAGATAAAGAGCAGCTATGTCCCTTTACTTCACCACTAAAATTAGTGACCGAAATAGAAAATTTCCCAGGAAACTTGAAGGGTTTAGCTGATTTGTTTAAGGATTGAAAAATTGTCAGATTGAAGGATTATATGATTAAAATGAGATGAATGGATCAGATTATAGTTAAACTTCAAACTAATAAACTATCATGGTATAATTATATCCAATTAGAAAGTTGGACAAATGAATGGTTGAAGATTAATGGCAAATGTAGAAAATGTATTAAGTATGAACAATTTCTATCATCACATGAAGACATGCACAAAGATGCTTTGAGGAAGGGAGTAGTAAGCAGAATTTATAAAGTAATTTTGGAACAAGAGGAAAAAGAGACAGAAATAGAAGGTTTGAAATCAATTTGGGAACATGATTTAAAGACAGAAATGAAAACAGGATTGGACAAAAATTTGGAAGATGAGAGTTTTAAGATTAATGTCCATAAGAATAAAGGAAAAAAATTAATTAGTTTATTTTCACTCCGGTGAAATTGAACATAAGAAATTCAGACTATTCTAAAATGTGATGAAGAAATTGGCACATATTGTCATATGTGGTCGGAGTGTAAATTGATTCAGAAATTTTGGAAATTAATTTTTAAGGAAATATGTGATATATTTGGAAAAGATATTGAACCTAATTCTAATATTGCTTTGCTGTCAATTTTTGATAATATAGAACTTGATTATTGCTCAATGGAATTGATTTCTAATCTTATGACAAGTGCTAGAATATTAATAGCTAGATTCTGGAAAGATAAAAATGATATTAAATAAGAGATTGGTATAATGAAGTATGGGACATTGCGTTCAATGATAAATTGACTACTGAACTTAAGATGAAAAGAGGGGAAATAAGTTTAAATATTTTAATGCTATTTGGGGTAGATTTCCTGAATTTTTATTAGTGAAAGGAAAGGGGAAAGCCTCTAAGCAACAATCAATACAATTTTGGAAAGGAGGTTCGTAATAAAACTATTGCTCCAAAGGGTCCTGTGGGTATGAGGGGTGCGCTGTGTTTTAGATTGTATTAGTAAGTATTTTGTATTCTTGTATTTGTTTTGGAAATTTTTTTAAAAAAAATTAAAAAGGAAATGAAGCCCCTCAAACAGCAGATACCCAGCTGATTTGCTCCTCTCCCTTTGTGTATTTCTTACTTTTCCCCTCCTCTTGTACAAATACTGGTTGAACTGTTCTCCAGTGCCTTTTACCTTTGAAATGCATATTCTAGAACCCCTAGGTGGGCTTTTCAGCCCCACACGGTTGGTATTTTATGCAGGGGAGGAACGTTGTTGTGCTCGTTGGGTCTGAATTGCCCTCTGAAGGTAGGTTAGAGAAGAAAGTTTGAAGTGGGGAGTTTGGCTCTACAGACAGAGGCTCTTCCACCCAATTTAGAGTCCTAATTAGAGAGGGTGCAAAAATGCATGGGGTGTCCATGTGTGGAGATGAGATCTCTCCAGAAGGCCTCCAAGAAGCAGTGGCTGGTGGGAGGCTGGGAGAAGCCCAGCCAGCGCAGCCTCACCTTCCGGCCCTTTTAGCCACATGAAGCTCGAACACCCAGATCAGACTTTAACACACAGCCTAACAGTTGTGGGCTGGGAGGAAACGGATTCTTACCTGCCTGAATGTTCTCCTTCCTCCTCCCTTGTTTGCAGTGTCTCAATGTCACCCAGCTGCTCAGGCATTACGGTCTTCGCGCCAATGCTCCCATCTCTCACAGCTTCTTTACCTACCTGTGTCCCGCCCTGCTGTACCAGATTGACAGGAGACTTTGCATTGAGCACTATGAAGATGTGGTGGTTGAAGACTTTAGTAAAGGTCAAAATGCATCTCTTGGGAATATGGAGAAAACAGGAGCATCAGGTAAGAGGAAGTACGAGACGTGAGTTGTTGAAGACACTGGACTGGGAGACCCTTGTATTTGTTTTTATGCCAGCCTTATTCATTCTATTTTATTTTAATATTTAAAGATACGATAAGGAGTGCTTTTCCTTGTTTGCAACACATTGACCCAATTCCTGTTGCTTAGCAGAGTAAATTGCATATGAGTAGGATGATTGAATTGAGAGGGATTTAGTCAGTCAGCTCCTCCATAAGTTTCCTTGATTCCAGCGAGCCTACTCTCACTGTGATTTAATTTAGCATAGTATGGCACGGTTAGAGTAGACCCATTTGAATCAGTGGAACTTACGGAGAATTTAATGGGCCTTGTTTAGTGCATTTTACTATATCAAGCAGTAGGATTTTAGCCATCTAGTTGTAGCTTTTTTTTCACTGCAGTTACAAGGAGCTGTTGCAATCATTCAGGCCAGTTGAAACAATAGAAGCCACCTACTTGTTGCTGTTACTGGAGAGGTGCATAAATCTTCGCACACTGTGTCTTTTTTTACTTAATTCTCTCCATATGTCCTCCCCTGGATTTCATTGCCTTGAGTTAAGGAAAAATGCTTCCTCCTCTTGAGAGCTGGTTGATTGCATATTTAAGGCTAATCCTGTGTGGATCAATCTTTTTCTCTTTTCTTCCCATCTTTTCCTTGTGTGATTTTTGTACAGAAATTCAGTATGTTTCCTATGACAGCAGAACACAAACTGTCCCGTGTATAAAGTAGCCCCAGTGTACCAGATCTACTCCCGGTGTCACTTCTGTTGGTCAAAGCTGAGGTTCTCACCAGTCCTTCGCTTGCAAGGCCAGTGTGCACTACCAGCTTGTCATGGGCTTCTGGGGCCAATCATGCGTGGGAGGCGGGTTTGCCAGGCAAATTCTGAGATTTGTTAGAGCTTAGATTTCTACAGCCCCGCAACCCTTTTTGTTTCGGGTGGGCCTCCTTCTCCGATCTACTCTGTGTAAACCACTACAAATAAGCCACTCCCCGTGTAAAAAAGTGGTCACATTTAAAGCCCACTCTTGACATCAGAGATGGGCAATCTTACAAAAGGCTGAAGGTCAGTTTAGTGTTAGGGCACATGCTTGGGAACTCTCTCCATCCCTAGAGCTGTCGAGAAAAAATGCTGCCAGCAAAAAGCAAAAAAAAAAAAAAAAAAATCCCCAAAAAACCATCTTCAGTATATTTGTCCATTAATAATCTCACTGTTTTTGGAAAGCCTGTTCCCCCCACATATGCTACTTAATTAAA